TTGAGAGTGAAAGGTGGTGGCACTATTAATAATTAACCTGAGAAAATAGGCACTCACAAAAACTGTCTTGTGTAAACCTGGATACATGGTCACTTGTGGGAAACTCCCTTAGAGCCTAAAGATTCTGGTATCACTATGAGAGGATGTCTCTGTTTTTCAGGAGAAACAAATGAACATAGCTGGCTGCCACTGTGGTCTGCTGTTCTAAGCACGGTGCTGGATGGAACTGTGTGTTCCTTCCCAGAAGGATGGAACTGTGTGTTCCTTCCCAGAAGGCAGAATGCATTTAGTAACAAGGAAAGAGAGCATGCATGGCTTGTAAAAGCCCCAGGGGGAAGTTCCTCTTGGAGTCTAGATGTTGTTCTTGCTTGTTCTCTAATATTACTATCAAGGACAGGAATCCCCTGAATGAAATGAGAAAGTGAGGAGTGGGTTTCCAGCATCGAATGTCCCAAATGGAGTAAAAGAGCTGTGATAAGTTATAGTCATTGGCCCATGATTTCTGTTCTGAGGAAAGCAGGAAAAAATGAATCTAGACCAATGTGGGTGGATTGTTTCCACTCCCTTGCCACCCATGTTTACTTCTATGACCAAGTGAAAATCATGCCAGCTCAGGGGCTGGACCGCTCAGACCAGGGGAATCCCACCTTTTCTGAGGGATGAAAGTTGTAAAGGGAACTCAGCACTGCCGTGGATAAGGACCAAAGGGACAGGGAAATCTTTTGATAGTCATCTGTCCTACAGCTTCAATCTCATTGTACCTAAAATAATTAAATAAGGCCCAGACTCAGAGTTAGGCACCAGACCTAATTTTGGCAGGTTAAGGGGGCTCAGTGACACAAACAGTTAAGCACTAGACTTCTAGCCAAAAGGTTGTTTGTTCGAACCCATCCAGAGTCATCTTTGAAGACAAGCCTGGTGATCTGTGTCTGAAATATTACAGCCTTGAAAACCTCATGGAGCAATTCTACTTTGTGCACATGGGGTTGCCATGAGTCATAACCAACTCGATGGCTACCAGCAGCAACAATCTGAGACAATGATTCTCAAACACTTGTATAATCCTTGTCTGATTTGCTTCCTTCTGGGTCACCACTCCTCTTTCTGATGTTCTACTTATAATACCTCTACTCTGTTAACAAAACTGGGAACTCTTCTTCTAATGTTCCCTAGGCTATTAGTTGAGCACAAGTCCCACTGCCTTCCTGGTGCCTAGAAGTTGTACTTGTTACCATCCTCCAATTTCTCCACTATTAAATCTCCATGATTCATTTGCATCAGTCTTGGGGATTACATTCCTACTATCTCCAGTGTACGCCAACATTCTTTTTCTCCTGGCACCTGTACCACACTCCAGCAAAAATTCTGAGCTGCTATTGTCAGGGTTGGGCCTTACTGCTTTCCGCAGGCTTCCAGCCCAGGGTCTCATTGTGATATGGCTCAGATCTGATGCCCTCTGGATCTTCTCATCATCTCTGCCAGGTCACACATGTATCATTCTTTTTTTTCTAGGTAAATCCAATGAACTTTAACACTTTCTGTTTTGTATTTTTTAGAAGAATCCTGATCAAATGGGGGAAATTGCAGAACAGAATTTAAAATTCTGTTTAAAGTTTAAAGTTCTCATGAACTTCAGACTTTCTGGAGCCATGGAGGGTGGATGAATCCCTGAAACTATTGCTCTGAGATAATCTTTAAACTTAAAAACAAAGATATACCCTCAATCTTCTTAAAACCAAACATATTTTCGCTTAACTGTAAAAAATATCTGTCTTGCATGTTATGCTCTTTTAAAAATTGTCTTTGTGGAATCAAATTGACAAGAGCCACTCAAAAGATTACATAGGAAACTTAGAGGACCATGAATTTATGTTAATGGGGGAGGAAAAACTGAGAAAAGGATGGTGAAAATGGTTGCACACCTTGAAGAATGTAATCACCATCACTGAATTGTACATGTAGAAACTGAATTGATGTATGTTTTGGTGTGTATATTCTCGACAACAACAAAATAAAAAAAAAAAAAATTCTGTTTTGAATGAGTAGGTGAAGCATGGATTCCATCACCCTGATGATGCCCTCTGCGTGAAATTTCTTCCCAAGATAATCTTACTAAATTCACATAATAAAGCACCCAACCCACCCACTGCTATCATGTTGATTCCAACTCATAGCAACCCCCATAGGGTTTCCAAGGCTGAAAATCTTTATGGAAGTGACTGCTTCATCTTTCTCCTGTGGAGCAGCTGATGGGTTTGAACTACTGACTGGTTAGCACCCAAATGCCTTAGCACATCACCATCAGAGTTCCTTTAATAAAGCATAGTCTTGCTTTTTTGGTTGAAACAGAACAGCTGTTTTCTCCCTTCAGATCTTCCCAGAATTCTTATGCTGCATCCCAGCTCCCTCTAGATCCTTCCTAAATCTACTATTCTGAAATGTTAGCAACCAATGGGCCTCCTCATTTTTATGGCATGTCATTTCTGCATGACATTGTGGTAAATTTCTACACTACTGTTCAACATTCCTGGATGATAAAAAACAAACAAACAGCCAAACCAGTTGTCATTGACTCAGTTCTGACTCATGGAGACCCATGTGTGTCAGTAGAACTGTGCTCCATAGGGTTTTTAAGGCTGTGACCTTTAAAGAGCAGATCACAAGGTCTTTCTTCTAGGAAGTCTCTGGGTGGTTTTGAACCACCAACCTTTAGATTAGTTGTTGCATGCTTAACCATTTGCACCACCCAGGGACTCCTTCCTGGATGATCTGGAAAACCCTGTTGCTCTTGAGTCAATTCCAACACACAGCAACCCTATAAGACAGAGTACAACTGCCCCATAGGGTTTTCAAGGCTATAATTTTTTTTTTTTTTTAATTGTGATTTGGGTGAAAGTTTACAGAGCAAAATTATTTTCCATACCACAGCTCATGCACTTCTTTTTTCATGACACTGATCACAATCCACACAATGCAACAGCTCTCTTCCCACTTTGTCCCTATGCTTACCTTTCCATCCCTCTGTCCTATGCATTCCTGCCCGCTGAGCTATCTCCCTGTGCAGATACTGCCTTTCTGATCTCCCATGGTTGACTGGTCTAGGGAGTGTACCCACCTGGTGTAAATGTTCACCGCATACACCTATCTGTTATTTAGCTGGAAGCCACAGGAGTGAGTTCAATTCCAGGCCCAAAGTGTGATTTGGGGCCATAGTCTTGGGCATTTTACCAGACTCTATCAAACCAGTAATCCTGCTCTTTTTCATGAGTTTGAGTTTTGTCCCACGTTTTTCTTCCACTCTATCCAGGGTCTCCTATTTTGATTCTTCTCCTAGTGGTTGACAGTGGTAGCTTGGGCATCATCTGGTTCTCCTGGCCTCAAGGTCAAGTAGGCTCAGGTTCACATGGTATACTGGTTCCTTGGGCTAAATGTATCTATGTGTCTTTAGTTTTCTTCATTCTTCTTTGCCCTGGAGGAGGAGAGACCCATTGTTGCACGTTAGATGTCTGCTTGCAAGCTTTTAAGACCCCAGTTGCTACTCACCAAAGTAAGATGTAGAACAATGTTTTTGTGTAGTATGTTATGCCAATTGAGCTTGATGTCATTCTTGACCATGGTCCCAAGCCCATATGCCCAGTGACTCATTTCCTCAGGGTGGTTGGCTATGGCTAAGAAGTTATCATCACTTTGCCCCACTAGCTCTATTATGTATATGGACATTTTTATAGCATGTACAAATACATATGTAGAATATCATTTAAGGCTGTAATCTTTATGGGAGCAGACTGTTACATCTTTCTCCTGAGGAGTGGCTGGTGGGTTTGAACCACCAACCTTACAATTAGCAGCCACATGCTTAACCACTGTGCCACCAAGGCTCCTTCTGGATGACAGCCTCCCCCAGATAAAATCTGCTTTTATGACCTTCAATAGCAGCTGATCATGAATAAACTCCAAGCCTACAGGACTCCCTTTTCCACTACTGAGTCCACTCCCATGTGGGTGCTGGAAGTTTTATTTTTCTGGATTGCTTACCTCCTCCCTTTCCTACTCTTGTCCCCCAGAGTCCCAGCTTCATCCTGACCTATCCCTTGCAGTGGCACCAGGTATTGTTTGCCCTGTATCCTCACATTCCCTACACAATAAAATCGTTTTTTCTAATATGGATTATACCCTTCACAGCAAATATTAGTACATTATTTTGTGGGATAGAAAAAACAACAACAACTTTCTTCCCCACCAGAAGGCAAGCTAGAGATGGCAGAAAATCCTAACTTGCTACATTCCTAAAAGCTGCCAGATTGCACAATTCAGGAAAATTGGGTCTGTGAAAGAAATACTCTGATGTTCTCAATGCTGTATTCTGGCCAGAGGAATTGCCCAGATTTCATGTTTTGCTTCACACCTCTCTCCCCATTTGTCACATTAGGCAGACATCAGTATATATAGCACCAGCCACATCTGCCCGGTAGGTAGCACAGGTCCTGCAGCTTCACCAGGGCCTTCAACAGGAAGAGGCATCCAAAGGTGAGACTCTACAACTTTCTAATAGTTTTAGTCTTTACAGATTCTTTTTCCCCAGCAGATGTAAATACTTCTTAGGATAAGGATTTTGTGCTATGTTTCTTCTGTATGAAGTCAGTGCTGGGTGGAGCAGGTATGCTGTATTTGTTGATTGTTTAATTCATGTCATATTGTATAGAGATGTATTGATCACAAAACCCCCAAATGCCTCTTTGGAAACTTACTGTAAGTCTGGTTTGGGGAATAATAGAAGATGATTGGAATTAAAAGTGTTCTATACTAAAGGTCCACTGCAATCTTTTATACAATAGATCCAATGAAACAAGTAGAAATGTGTATGTAATAATGCATGTGTGTGTATAATTAGTTGAGTGGGGATTACTCTTGGAATGCAAGGATGGGCCAACATTACAAAAAACAAAAAGGCAAAACTCTTATGTAACTTGGTTGTGCCCTTGATTCTCCCCTTTCATGGCAGCAGGATGAAGCTTTTCACAGGCATCATTTTTTGCTCTCTGATCCTGTGTGTCAGCAGCCACGGATGGCTTGATTTCGTCAGAGAGGCTGCTCTAGGTAAGGACCAAAGAATGGGCATGGAAGGCCGCATGTGGCTGCCCAGAGGATTCCCATTAGCAGAGGCTACATGCCTACGGGGCAAAGGTGCTAGTGAAGCCACAAATGGGTAGAGAAGGAGCCCAGTTTTTCATGAAAACAGTTCCCTGTGCCTTTCTTACCAGCTTTGGCACTCTCCTATGGGGATCCTCAGGCAGAGGGCAGCCTTTCAGCACTGGTGTGGGAAAGGTTTGGAGCTGGAAGAGGGTGTCTGGTTTCCTTAATACCCATGGGCTCTGCTGCCCCCTAGTGGGTAATCAGCTTGGGTAGCATTCACATCGAAAACTCTCTCACTGCCTTGAGTCAGATCCGACTCATAGAGGGGTTTCCGAGGCAGTATCTCTATGGAAGTAGATTGCCCCATCTTCCTTCTGAGGAATGGTTGGTGAGTTTGAACTGACAGCCAACTGGTTAGCAGTCAAATGCCTTAGGTACTACGCCACCAGAGCTCCTTGAGACTGAGTCAATAGTCCCCATCCACATAGTAATAACAACTAAAATTTATTTGAGCTCTTAATATGTACCAGGAACTGTTCTAAGAGCTTTGCATGTACAAATCAACTATTTTTTAGTTATTAGTCTTAATCCTTTAATCGTGGGTTGTAGGCAACATTATTATCTTCTAACAGAGAAACTGAAGCACAGATTAAGAAAACTAGAAAAGATCCCAAAGAAGAACAGGATTTAATCCAGGAGTTAAACAATTTTCTTTCCTTTCCAGGAGCTGGGGATATGTTTAGAGCTTACAAGGACATGAGAGAAGCCAATTACATAGGTGCAGACAAATACTTCCACGCTCGAGGGAACTACGATGCTGCACAAAGGGGACCTGGGGGCGCCTGGGCTGCGAGAGTGATCAGGTAATGCAGATTCCAGGAGTGGGTGAGAAAACTTGGCGGCCTTGGAGAGTCAGAAGGGGGAACACCCTGGAGGAGGTTCCTGCAGGGGCTATGCCCCCTTGTCATCTTGCCACTCTCCCCCTCCATGACCAGAGTGTGGTCTGAGTGGCCAGAAGAGCCAGACCATGGCTGGTGGGATGGGTGATTCCCAATCCTCCATAACTGGGTCCCAGAACACCGTTTATCCAGCAGAAGGGTGATCAGCCTAGGCTGATAGGACTCTGACCAGATGGGGCCAATATGTTAGCCCCTCTTTCCTGTCTACTCTCAGTCATACCTTGGGAATGACAGAGTTAGGAAGGTGGGTCTGCTGCACATCAGCCTCATGATTCATCTCCTGCCTTCTTTCCTTGACTCTAGCGATGCCAGAGAGAATTCTCAGAGAGTCACAGACCTTTTTAAGTATGGAGACAGTGGCCATGGAGCAGAGGACTCGAGGGCTGACCAGGCTGCTAATGAATGGGGGCGAAGCGGCAAAGACCCCAATCACTTCAGACCTGATGGGCTGCCTGACAAGTACTGAGCCCCCTCTTCAGTTGCTCTCAGACACCAGGCTGTGAGTCCCGAGGGCAGGGACAGTTGTTGAGTTGGATTATTCGTCTGTCTTCTCTGAATCCCTATCTTCTCTGTATGCTTGACACAGAGGATATAAAAGTGCTTAATAAGTGCTATGAAATCCAACTTGTTTTGTTGTTGGGACCTGGAAACAGTATATGACAGTCTTTCTGGGAACATGGACCTATATATTACCCAAAGAATGATCAATAAACATTACTGTTTTTATTTTTATTTTTGAAAGGATGAGGTACGTATTAGGAATTAGGATATAATTACAGATACAACAGACAGAGGTAAGATAATAAGGGCATACTATGAACAACTTAAGCAATAAATATGAAAACAGGACAGAAAAGCAACAAAGATGTAGAAAAGTACAACTTAAAAAGCCAGGCTCAAGAAGATATGAAAATCTGGATTATCCTATCATTATTTAATAAGATTGAATCCTTTCACCAAGAAAACACCAGGTCCACATGTTGTTGTTGTTAGATGCCGTCGAGTTGTTTCCGACTCATAGCGACCCTATGCACAGCAGAACAAAACACTGTCCTGCACCAGCTCTGCAACCCTTGCTGTACTTGAGCCCATTGCCGTAGCCACTGTGTCAATCCATCTCATTGAGGGCCTTCCCCTCTTCCATCAACCCTCCACCTTACCAAGCATGACATCCTTCTCCAGGGAATGGTCCCTTGTGATAAGTAGGTGAGACGAAGTCTGGCCCTTCTGGCTTCCAAGGAGCATTCTGGCTGCACTTCCTCCAGGACAGATTTGTTAGATCTTTTAGCAGTCCATGGCACTTTCAGCATTCTTTGCCAGCACCACAACTCAAAAGCATCACCTTTTCTTTGGTCTTCCTTATTCATTGTCCAGCTCTCACATGCATATAAGGCGACTGAAAATACCATCCCTTGTGTTAGGCTCGCCTTAGTCCTCAAGGAGACAGACATTTTTGCTCTTCAACACTTGAAAGAGATCCTTTGCAGCCAGTTTGCCCAGTGTTATATGTTGTCTGATGTTCTGATGGCTGCTTCCATTGGCATTGATTGTAGAATCAAGCAATGTGAAGTCTTTGACAATTTCAATCTTTTCTCCATTTATCGTGATGCTGCTACATGGTTTTATAGGCAAGTTTAATTCATAAAATAACAAATAACGCCAATATACAATAATTTCAGAGATTAGAAAATACTACCCAACCCTCTTCATGAGGGTAGTAAAATGTTGATAGCAAATAAGGTACAAAAAAGGAAAAGTACCCTGAATCACCATGTATTGTCCTCAGCAAGGATCTCCCTGGGGTCAAAGTACAGCCTGAGGTTATATGTCTTATGTGATTCCTAAAGATCCTAGAATCTCTGAGATGGGTGTTCAATCTCAGATACCTCATATCATTTCTTCCCCAGATAAGACCTTCTCCCCTTGGTCTTGCTGGCCTGGGTGTCTCTGGCTACAATATACTGTATTAGGCCATACTGTGTTTAGAGCCCCTCTCTGCCCAGTCAGCTATGTTCCTTCCCTTTTCTGTCTCCCAGGAATCTAGGTCTTTCAGTGGTCTCTCTCCCCACCACAGAGGCCTAGTGCCAACAGTCTCTTCCTTTTCCTATCTACTCCATCCTAATCCAATTGTTAGCAAGTTCTTTTCCATGTTACTATGAAATACCTTTCAAAACCATTTCTCTACTCTTTGTTTTAGGGCATGATAGAATGTCACTTCCTCTATACACAAAATCTATCAATCCCTAAAACCTTATCTTTATTCCAACACATATTTTGGGGGCATATAATTTAATCCATAACATACATGCAAGCCAGTAAAAATTTCTTTGAGAGCAAGGTCTTCATGTACCTTTTTTGCCATTGTGTGTTCAATTTTAGTGGCACCAAAAAAAAAAAAAAAAAGCTCTGTTGAGTGAATTAACAAAAACACACTGAGTAACTAAATGACTGCCTTTGAAATGTTATGTAGCTCTAAGTGTGTGTGTGCGTGTGCATGTGTGTGTGATTTCATTCATATCACACTTGATTTTCAAGGTTAATTATTTTAGTGAGAGGTATGCCTTAATTTGAGTTATCGGTATAGGAAATGTTTTCAGAACCTGAATTCCCAGTGAAAGATGTGGAATATGTGGAATTCTCCAACAGTCAACACCGTGACCTTCACAGCACCTTGAGAATCTGTTTCCATGTCTGTAAAATCAACTTGCAGGACTAGATGATCCCGAAAGTTTTTATTAGGAAAAACACAGAATTATCTTTCTATTGTCTCTATAGAAAATAATTTCACAAAACTATTGTGGTACTGAGTTGATGAAAGAGAACTCAGACAAAAATTATACCAAAAAAGGATTGTAGAGGTGTGTCAAACCAAACTAAAACCAAACTCACTGCCGTCGAGTCGATTCTGACTCATAGTGACCACTCCTTGGATTTCCGAGGCAGTATCACTACAGAAGTAGGTTGCCCAACCTTCCTTACGCGGAGTGGCTGGTGGGTTTGAACCGACAGCCTCCTGGTTAGCAGTCAAATGCCTTAGGCACTATGCCACCAGAACTCCCAGAGGTATGTCAGGCTGCTAATAATAAAAATATCTTGTTGTTTTTCTGTATTTTGTGATATTTATGGATCTTGTCAAATCTATTCTTGAGATGGTCTCTAAATATCTTAGGAAGAGATTGGATGCATTGAACACTAATGACCAAAGACCAGATGAGAGTGTAATGAGATATCATCAAGGACCTCATACATGGTGTTTTTTGTTACCTAGTACCACTCTAACAGAAGATACCACAAATGGGATAGCCTTGACAAACAGGAGTTTATTCTCTTATAGTTTGGAGGCTTAAGTACGAGTCCAACTACAAGGCTCTAGGGGCTGTGTGAAAGCCCCTCAACCTTGAGCTTCAGCTCTGCTTCCTGCTCCCAGCCCACTGAAGCCTGATGACCTACTTCTGAAAAACCACCCCTTGAAAGCTCTGTGGAGCACAGTAGTACTCTGACAAATGGAATCGCCATGAGTCAGAGTTGACTCCACAGCAACTGGTTAGTTTGTTGGTTACTGTGGTAGTTATGTTGTGTGTAAACTTGGCTGGGCCTGGTTGAGTGGCTGGGCAGCTGGTTGTGGTTATTCCCCATGATGAGACTGGCAATCAACTCCATGGTGGGATCTACCACAAGCAGCTGAGTAGCTGCCTTTGGGATGTGGTCTGCTTCCTGTACA